ATTGACTGGTTTGACCTCCTAGCAGTCCAGGGGACTCTCAAGAGTCTTCTCCAGCACCACAGTTCAAAGGCATAAGGGCAAAATACTTTCTTCTTATCCAAACAAACACATAAACATATCATTTGAGTCTATGGGCATTGCCTTAATTCAAAAACATTTTTATCTTTTCTTCTTTTTCCTTAAAATCTAGATTAATCTATGATTTGAGGACATGTAATTTCCTGTTTCAAAGATGACATAGAAATAAGGAGAATCAAGTGACAGTTAAACTTCTAGTTAAAGTTTAAATAAACATACAACATAGGGTGAGTGTTTGTAGAACTGACTAATGTTCTCCGTCTAGAACACAGAATCATAATAAAGCTCAGAATAAAATACAGGGATCAAACTAATGTACCTTTCTTATACTGACAGGAAATTAGGTGATAATTTTTGCTTGTTGACCCCAACCTATTTTTTCTAAATAAAGAGGCTGGCCTTTACTTAGTTTAGTCACTCTTAAGGAAGGAGGAAATCCAAAATTGTTTAGAGGGACTATATTGGTTTACACCTCAGAGTCAGTATTCCTGCTTCCCTTCCTAAAGTCTTCTATCCATCATCACAGTTTCTTTCTCCATGTTTGAAAGATGGGAAAGGTCCAAACTGTCTATACATTTGAACATTTTGGAAAGGGCTGCATTTCAAAGAATAATTGTCCTTCACATATTTCTTTCTTTTATGCCAATCCCAAATGATACCATTCAGGAAAAACTGCACTTTCATATCAACATGATAAAATTGGTAACCAGTGGAAAGAACTCAAAATGAATAATAGCCTGAACCCACTCAGGTAGTAATTTTAAAAAATATGGAATATATAGATGATAAATTCCTTGACTTTTCTTCCAGATATGGATGACTGTTTTGAATGTTCTGAAGACAAATATCCAAATAAAGAAAAGAAAGAATGTATCATGAAACTGGTGGTCTTTCTAACTTTGGAAGAAATATTAGGAATTAGTTTAGCCTCCACTGCTCTTTGTTTCTTTTTTGTGACATCTTGGGTACTTGGAACATTTTTAAATTACAGGGATACTCCCATTGTTAAAGCCAACAAGCGGGCCCTCACCTATACCCTCCTTGTCTCTCTTCTGCTCTGTTTCCTCTCCTCTTTCCTCTTCCTCAGCCAACCTGGCCAAGTCACCTGCCTTCTCCGACAATCCACTTTTGCCATCACCTTCTCAGTGGCCATTTCTAGTGTCCTGGCCAAAACCATCACTGTGGTGGTGGCTTTCATGGCCACGAAACCAGGATCTCATATGAGGAAATGGGTGGGGAAAAGATTGGCCTCTTCTACAGTCCTTTCCTGCTCTCTTGTCCAAGTCTGTATTTGTGCTCTTTGGTTGTCAACAGCTCCCCCATTCCCTCAGTTGGACATGCACTCAGAAGAGAGAGAAATTATTTTGCAGTG